TCAGGAGGGATATAAACAAACCGCAAAGTGTTCAGGATGATAAGAAGCCAGAAAAACTGAAAAAAATGAGGTTGTTCTAAAGAAAAGAGGAAACAAGATCTCTAATATCTGATAAACTGTTATGCTGAATAAAAAATGGACTTGTTCTGTGTTACTCTAAGGGGCACAATTAAAACAAATGGATAGGGACCAGCACTGTGGCATAGCAGATAAAGCCACTGCCTGCAATGCCGGTATCCCATATGGGTGCTGGTTCAAGTCCAGCTGCTCCACTTCCGATCCAGCTCTCTGCTATGGCCTGGGAAAGCAATAGAGGATGGCCCAGGTGCTTGGGTCTCTGCACCCATGTGGGAGAGAGGGAAGAAGCTCCTGGCTCCTGGCTCCTGGCTTTGGATCAGCAAAGCTCTAGCCATTGCGGCCAACTGGGGAATGAACCAGTGGATGGAAGACCTCTACCTTTCTCTGTCTCTGCCTCTCTGTAATTCTGCCTTCAAATAAATAAATAAATCTTAAAAAAAAAAAAAAGCAAATGGATAGAAGTTACAGAAATTTAATGCCAGTTGATTATAGAAGAATCCAGTGCTTGTTGAAAAGCAGAATAGACTAAACTTGGAAGATATCTCTCAAAAAAGCTATAAGATTCTTTTACCAGATTGCAAAATAACCTTTATGTATATGAACTGGTGCTCATTCATTTCTCAATGACTAAGTATGTACCTCAAGTTCTGTTTTTAAAAAAATAATAAATCATTCAGTTTAATGACAAACCTACAAACAGAATTTAAAGAAATCAAATTACATATTCTTCCACAGTATTATGTAAGGCGAAGAACTATTAATCAAGATTTTCTTTTTTATTTTAAGATTTTATTTTTATTTATTTATTTGAGAGGTAGAATTACAGAGAGAGGGAGAGACAGAAAGAAAGGTCATCCATCTGCTGGTTTATCCATAACTGGGCCAATCCAAAGCCAGGAGCCAATAGCTTCTTCTGGGTTTCCCAGGTAGGTGCCGGGGGCCCAAGCACTTGGGGCATCATCTACTGCTCTCCCAGGCCATAAGCAGAGAGCTGAACAGAAGAGGAGCATCTGAGACCAGAACTGGGGCCCATATGAGATGCTGGTGCCGTAGGCAGAGGCTTAGTCCGCTATACCACAACACCGGCCCCTAATCAAGATGTCTTCATTCTGAAACAAATTTAGTGCTTGATAACCTCAAAACACATACTTAATTACCTTTAAAAGTGAGACATGGGCCAGAAGTGTGGCACAGCAGGTAAAGCTGCCACCAGTGATGCTGGCATCCCATATGGTCACTGGTTCATGTTACAGCTGCTCCACTTCTGATCCAGCTCCCTGCTGAAAAGCACTGGAAGATGGCCCAAGTGGTTGGGCCCCTGCCACCCATGTGGGAGATCCAGATAAAGCTCCTGGCTCCTGGCTCCGGCCTGGCCCAGCACAGGCTATGGCAGACATCTGGGGAATGAACCTGCAGATGGAAGATCTCTCTGTCTCTCTCTCTCTCTCTGTAATTCTGACTTTGCAAATAAATAAAAAAATCTTTAAAAAAATATTATACAAACTCACCTTTTAAAAAAAGTGAGAAAAGTTAGTAATAACTAAAATATGTCTAAGAGTTAGCAAAGTCAAAACAGAAATTGAGGATTCTTAATCCAATGTCAAGTTTCAAAAACTAATGAACTGAGAGGGACAGGGATAATGGTGAGAACAGGAAGATAGCATTAAGAATTCATAGTATATGGTTTTCTAACACAGAACACTACAATTCAAAGGGTTATAAGACCACTTACCTCCAAAAGTCTGTGTCTATCTTTATCATTCAGCTTTCCTTTTCCACTTGTGATCTCATCCACTGATGTTTTCAAGGCTGCAATCTCGCCTTTAAACCTCTCTAATGCAGTTTCTGATTTGGAGGTACTAGGCTTTGATCCCCACTTACTTTTAATTAAATCTTTGGGACTTCTGGAAGACATCTTCTGAAATAGTCTATAAAAATAAAAAGTCAGTTGTGTAAGTCTGAGTTTAATTTCAGGTTTGAAAGAGACCTAATAATCTATCTGCTCTAAATAGAAATGATATATCCAAACCAGTGAGGTACAAGAAAGATTTCTGGTGTATTGTAACAACTTTATTTTTAAATCTTTGAGACAGATACATGGGGACTATTCACTTACCTTCTAAAAATATGTCATCTTGTACACTTCTGATTTGTACTGTGTTCTGTACATGTCTTACACTTCAGTAGAAAAGTTGTGTTTTAAAAAGGAATGGAGGGGCCGGCGCTGTGGCATGGCAAGTAAAGCTGCTGCCTGCAGTGCCGGCATCCCATATGGGAGCTGGTTCGAGTCCTGGCTGCTCCACTTATGATCCAGCTCTCTGCTATGGCCTGAAAAAGCAGTGGAAGTTGGCCCAAGACCTTGGGCCCCTGCACCCGCATGGGAGACCCAGAAGAAGCTCCTGGCTCTTGGCTTTGGATTAGCACAGCTCTGGGCGTTGCAGCAATCTGGAGAGTGAACCAGCAGATGGAAGGCCTCTCTCTCTCTCTCTCTGCCTCTGCTTCTCTGTAACTCTGCTCTCAAATAAATAAATCTTTAAAAAATAAATAAATAAAGCCAGGGAGGTTGGGCTGGTGCTGTGGCCTAGTGGGTGAAGCTGCCATCTGCAATGCCAACATTCCATATGAGCACCAGTTCAAGACCCGGCTGCTCCACTTCCTATCCAGCTCTCTGCTATGGCCTGGGAAAACAGTAGAAGATAGTCTTTGGGCCATTGCACCATGTGGGAGACCAGGAAGAAGCTCCTGGCTTCAGATCAGCCCAGCTCTGGCCATTGTGGCCAACTGGGGAGAGAACTGGTGGATGGAAGGTGTCTCTCTCTCTCTGCCTCTGCTTCTCTTAACTCTGCTTTTCAAATAAATAAATAAACAAATCTTAAAAAAAAAAAAAAAAGCAAGGGAGGGTTGCCTACTGTTAAACAATGACTGAAAGAAGTAGATTACAATCAAGGGCATTTCTTACCTAAGAATAAAAGGCTGGTGACAAAAATATAATATATAATAGGTACTGAAAATTCATTACTCACTACAATTATATTTCCGGTTTTAGAGGATATGCCTAGTGTAGCAGATAAAGCTGCTGAACCAGCGGATGGAAGACCTCTCTTTCCCTGTAACTCTTTCAAATCAATCAATCAATCTTAAAAAAAAAAAGATATGCCTAGTTCACATCTTTTTAGTCATTTGTGAGAGCACAGTAAGAAGTGAAAAGAATCAAGTTGAGACATTTGTAGAAGAGGAGACTTAATATACAGAGGACTCAGGATAAGAGGAGCTAAGGAGCCAAATTAATAAGCAGAAGCTTAGAACCTGTTAACAGTACTGATGACAAGAAAGTGTATAATACAAAATCCAGCAGGCAGATATATAATGAAACATACTGTGCATATAAATAGTAAAGTAGCTCTTCATTAGGAAGGTTAAGGGACAACAGAATGGCAGTGCCATTAAGGAATCTAGGAATGTGAGACCATTAACACATTCAAAACTCACTTTACTAGGGGAAACAGGAGGGCCACAGGGACAGGACTTCCAAGGTCAAGTGTGGAATCAGAAAGCCTACAAATACTAGGACTGTGTAGATTGAGTCGACCAAGCCAGCTGTCACAAGATCACTGAGGATTCTTGCCCGCTGTAGGACGAAGGACTACGGGGGCTGGGAACTCTCTGGAGCCAAGTGCAAGGGCGTGGTGTCTCAGGAACCCACTGCACAAGACGCGCTCTCCTGTGTGCTTCTGCAGATCCCACACGGCTGACTCCATATACTGAGCTGACTGCAGACACTGGCTGCTTAGTCCGACCGAATGGTGGGAATGCAGATGAGCAGACAGGAGCGAGAACCCTGGCCCCTCTGCTTCCCTACGGAGGGCAGAAAAACTGCTGCGGGGAATGGCTCTTGTCTGTAGCCTGGGCGAGGCTCCACCCCCACCACTCGGTCCTACCACCCTCCTTGCCCTGCATTTTCTACTCCAGTCATTTGCAGGTGTTGCCTGAGCAAACCCGACCTGACGGTGGTTTCTTCTTCAGCAAGCCCTCTCCCCGCCACCTGCAGTAAGGCGACCCAGCCGCTACGCAGTCTGGTGCCCAATGAGCCCCACCTTAACCTTCTGATTCTTTCAACCGTTTCAGGAGCTGTACTTTGAGGTTTTGGGGGGAGGGGCATGCGCAGAAGCCATCAGTTCAGAAACTGTTGACTGACTGAAGGAAGACAGGCTGGGACCAAACAAACATTTCAATGGGCATCTACCACAGGCCACATCTTCCCGGAGGGGAGACAAATTCCCTTGTGAGATGGAAAAGAAAACCTCCGGGAGGCGCTTGCTTGCTCCCCTCTGAAATGAAGGCTGTCGCGGAACACACAGAAAAGCACTTGCTAACTGGCAAAATAAATAAATAATAAATAAATAAATAAAGATCCTTCGTACTAACGAGAGGCCTGGGCCGAGTCCCTGGGCTCTCTGCACTCCGTAAGAAGATGAACATACGCACCGCGAGGTCGAAAGGAGGAACTGAAGAGACGATGGCCGTGAGCTCAGCGCCCCGCCGGTGCCAGCCACAGGCGCCCGGATCAGCGCAGGCAGAGATGCAGTCCCGCACCGCGGTCTGCCTGCCGACGCCGCCTCCCTCGCGGTCCGGCTGGGCCCCGGGGCTAGGGAACCGGGCCGTCTTCGCCTGCCTCCGCGGTCGCAGCCCCGGGGCAGCCAGCACCTGAGGCGAAACGCGGCGCCCGGCGAGTCCACACCCTCCTGCGCGGACAGCGCTTCCGGGAGTTTGAATCCCGCGGCTGCGGGGCGGGGCACGTCACTGCCGGCGGGGGCGCGGCCCGCTGGAAGTCCGAGTGGCGCACGAAGCCGGGACGCGGCTCCCGATTGGCTGAGGCTCCGGGCGCGCCGGGGAAGGGCGGGGTCCGGAACCTAGGTGTGGGCGGGGCTACGGGGAGGGCGGGGTCGATCCGTGAGCGGGGTTTTCTCCGGGTGCCGGCGGATTCTGAGAAAAAGATTGAGTTTGTGCTGATCGGCTTCGAGGTTGAAGCAGATTACTGTGCTAGTGGACCGGGACTGACTGTGGGTCGTGAGCACACTTCACGCCTCTGAGTGCCAGTTTCTGCTGTACGAAGGGGCGCCCTCCAGCCCTGGGAGAGCTGGATCCCGCGACGGAACGCAGCCTCGCTGTCGCCCACTTTTGCTGCGTCTTTATTCTGCCAAAAGCTGGGGTGGAGCCACAGCGGGCGGACCGTGAGAGAGCCGGCGGCCCGAGGGTGCGAGCCCCGGAGGAGGCCGGCGTTCGCGCCAGGTCGCGGCCCTCCTGCCAGCCGAGCGTGGGTCAGTCTTTATCGCGAAGGGAAGAGGCACAGGAAGAGTTGGAAGGGCCGACCTTTGTCCCTCGGACCAAGCATCAAGTCAGCAGAAATTTAAAATAGCGGATACGCGGCAGCAAAGCGTCTCGGGCAGGCAGGTTGCGTGGTTAAACTCTAGGTTCGGAGCGGCTGAGCCTGGCTCCTGCTTGCGTCTCACTAAAGACAGGACCTTGGATAAATTATATAACCGCTCTGAGCCTCGGTTTCCTGGTCGCTAAGCGGATGCAAATTAAATCTACTTCACTGCGCGGTTATGAAGATTACATGAAAGAATCTATGTAAAATGCTAGTATTAGTGTCTAATTGATGATAACCGTTATTAAAAAAGCAACACAGTCATATATTACTTTGGAATGTAAACGAATAATAGTAATATAAAAGCCACCAACAAAATACCAGGGGATGACTCTGGCATCTGCTTCCTGGAGCTCGCCTTTCTAGTGGGCAAATGAACAGTCTTGGTTTCCTGTTTATCTGTCGTGTGCAGATGTGATGGGAGTGGGAGAAAGTGCAAAAGTTAAATCAGTTGAGATGAGGGACAGAATTAGTTCCCATAGAAAATAGAGAGAGAGAGGTGGCTGGATATGAGCTCACCTTTGAGCCAGTGGAGAACAGAGGATGGGAGAGACAGGAGGGAAGAGCCTGGCACCTGGCAGCCTGGCAGCTGGAGGCCCGGCACTCAGGCCTGCTGGGCCAGATACTCGGTTCCACACCACTCTCCAGAACTTTGTTTTCTAGTGGGAGCTTCCCCTTGTAAGTAGGGGTGCCTGAGGGAAAAAAGCAGATGAGAGGCTCGTGGGCCTGGGGGCTTGTGTAATTTTGTAATTATCATTGATAGACCTGAAAATGAATGTTTGCTCTTTACAAATAGGTGTGCCAATCCTGATGGAAGATGGAGGCGCTGGAAGGTTCCATCAGGTGTCATAAGGTAACAGTATTTTGATGTTGACAGTTCACGTAGGGACAAGACTAGGGTTCAAAATTCTTCCTTATTCATGTGAAGAGAGAAGTGAGACAGTCAGGCAAGACTAGGTGTTACCTCAGCAGGTGAGCTCACTTTCTTCTCAGTAGGAACATGTTCTCTGGAAGGTAAAACAGTAGCAAAAGGCTGCTGAACCAGTTCAAGGCAAGAAGTGGAAATGGGGAATGTATTATGGAGGAGCTGCCTGTCACCTTTAAAGGGGCTTATCTTTCAAAGGGCTGCTAATGAATGCTGAGTGCTTGAGATGTGGCTACTGTGAATAAGGAACCAAATTTAACTTTTACTCAGTTTTCATTAAAAAACTGACATTTAATTCAGTTACTAGAAAACTTTCAAGTAGTTTCAAACACCTTGGGTACAAAAACATGGGTTTTTTTCAATTATAACTTTTGTAAGATCTAAATATAAAGAGTATTTCCAATAAAAATTTGTGTCTAAATTGAGATGTGATTTATACAGAATATTTCAAATATATAATATAAGCATATATAATAGTATACTAGTGCTTGATTATATAATTATCACATATTAAAATGATAATATTTTGGATACACTGGTAAAATAAAACATACTACAATTGATGTCCCTATTCTGTTTCACTTTTTTAGATCTGACTACTAGAAAACTCAAAATGATAAATGTAGCTCTTGTTACATTTCTTCTGGCTGGGCACCGGAATGCGCACATAAAGGGCCTTTCAATGCAAGACAAGAAGGAATGAGTACATGCTTGCCTCTTTCCCATCCAATTTCTCCCCAGCAGGGGATCTTCCTGAAATAATGCAGAATGGAGTACCTCACACATTCCCCCAACACAAACAGGAACTTGTTACTCACTTGCCATTGTTCTTGGGGAAAAGAACAAAAGCCCAGATCTGTCCTCCTAGACTGCTGACTTCCTCAACCTGGCCCCACACCGGCCACAGAGCCACCTTCCAATCCTTGGCCAGGAAGCGCCTTCCCACCTCAGGGCCTTTTCATAGACCCTGCCTGGAAGTCTCCCACTGTCTTCTCCTTGCCTACTTCTTCTTCAGATCTCACGTCACTCACTCTGCCTCTCTGAAAAGAGGATCACTTCCCTTTACTTTGGAGTCTTCTTTCAAAGCATCAGCACAGTTGTAATTGCACATTTATTTGTGAGTGATTTGTGATGGGTATCCTTTTCCCTTACCAGAGTGTAATCTCCTTGGAGGCACAGGGTATCTGCGATTTTTTGATCACCCTATCCTCGGTACCAAGAACTGCAGTACTTGAATGGTTTAGGTCATGTGATGAATGAATGAATGCATTGATCAGTCTCCTCTGACCCAAATTCTATGAGAAATAGGCAAAATCTTTACTCTTTTCTGTTATCAATATTCCTTAACAGGGACCAAATGCATCCTTTTAGAACCCAGAACCTTCTCAGAGTAGATGCACTGTTCTTTCCTGGATATGAGTTCATCTTCAGCCAGGAAGGAATTCTTTCCTTCCTTCCTTCCTTCCTTCCTTCCTTCCTTCCTTCCTTCCTTCCTTCCTTCCTTCTGTTAGGAAACTGGCACAGTTTTATCTATGGCACAATCTACACCCTGATTTACACCTTAGGCCCTAGCCGCCACCGCCCCCCCCCCCCCCCACGCCCCCAGTTGCTGGAAGCCAGGTGGTCACATGGCCCAAACTCTGTTGTCAAGCTCCACCCCCATCCTAATGAGATTCGCTGCTCCTGCTTCCCTGCCCGCCCTCGGGCAAAGTTTTAAAAGGGCCTGTTCCGGAACACGTGGCTTTCTTGGCTCTTCCCTCTTGGCTCTGCTCTCCTGCTCTCTTGGCTCTTCTCTCTGCTCTATCTTCTCTCCTTACTAGCCCCTCTCCTCTGTCTGGCTCTCTCTCTTACCCTTCTTCGTCCCTCCCCTCCAGTCTGCTGGGTTTCCCCCAATAAACTCTTTCCCTTACTCCAGTGTCCAGTGTGTTTTGTGACGACTAACACCTACCTTCCTTCCTTCCTTCCTTCCTTCCTTCCTTCCTTCCTTCCTTCCTTTCTTTTTTTAAGATTTATTTATTTATTTGAAAGGCAGAGTTACACAGAGAGAGAAAGAGATCTTCCATCCTCTGGTTCACTCCCCAGTTGGCCATAATGGCTGGAGCTGAGCCTATCTGAAGCCAGGAGCAAGGAGCCTCTTCCGGGTCTCCCATGCGGGTGCAAGGGGCCAAGGACTTGGCCCATCTCCATTGCTTTCCCAGGCCATAGCAAAGAGTTGGATCAGAAGTGAAGCAGCCGGGACTCGAACCAGCGCCTGTATGGGATGCCAGCACTGCAAGCGGTGGCTTTACCTGCTACACTGCAGCGCCAGCCCCAGGACTGCATTTCTTAAAAAGATTTATTTATTTGAGAGGCAGAGTGACTGAGAGGGAAAGACAGAGAGAGAAAGAGACTTTCCATCCACTGGGTCATTCCCCAAATGGCCATAGCACTGGGGCTGGACCAGGCTGAAGCCAGGAGCCTGGAACTCCATCTGAGTCTCCCATATGGGTAGCAGGGGCCAAGGTACTTGGGCCATCATCTACTGCCTTCTTAGGTGCATTAGCAGGAGCTAGATCAGAAACAGAATAGCCAAGGCTCCAACTGATGTTCTAGTATGGGATACCAGCATTGCAAGTTGGCTTTACATGCTGAACCACAATGCCAACTCCTTGGCTGCATTTAAATTGGCAAATAGAGACACCTCAGCTCCTTCCTGAGATGACAGAAGTTTTATTAGCAGGTGACATATTTGAAAACCATTGCATGGGCAAGTATTGCTTGGGGAGACTTATCACTGGCAGTCGTATGTCCTATAGGAGGATTCTTGTTAATCTATCGATATTTTTCTGACTTGGTCTTGAATTTGAGGTGCATCTTATTTGAAAAGAGCAGTCCCCTGGGTACCGATTACCCTGCCTGTTTTAGTTTCTTTTCAAATTTATCTGTGTGGTTCTTAAAACATTTCAATCTTATCCAGGGTATTAGTATGCAATCCCATTACTTCATTTCCCTCCAAGAGGTCCCTGCTGCCAGTGAAGCAATGGTATGAGTGCTAACAGCCTGGGCTTTGGAGGAAGGCTGCCCGCTTGCACATCTTGGCTCACTGAGCACTTACACAAGCTGCTTAACCAGAATGGGCCTCAGGCTCTTCCCTTGTGAAATGAGGATCCCAAAACAGTATTTCACAGGGCAGGGTGGTGGAAGGATTAAGTGAGACAAAATAAGATGCTGAAGATCATGTTTGGCCTGTGGCAAGCCCTGCGTAGATGTTACGTGTTAGTAACAGAACAAAGATGGCTCTCTCTGTGAGTTAGTATCTCTCTGCCTGCCTAGCTCGCTGCTTGACTGTTTGACCCAAGTTTGATGTTCCTGACATCAAATGGCTCGAAGCTCCCAGTACTCCCTGTGTATATTTGTTTAATTCTGTTTGAGATTACACATGCAGACATGTGCCTGCACACATCGATCCAACCATTCAGACTCAGTTTAGCTATCAGCTGTCATCTTGTCCAGGGAGCCTACCACTCTGACCCACTTCTGCCCTGTTAGACACTGTCTCCTCTGTTTACTTCTTCCTCTCCTTGCACTGACTACATTGTGATATCATTATCTTTAGCTCCTCACGGAGAAGAAATGTGTCTTTTTCATCTTCGTAGTTAGCATTGTTTCTGGCACCAAGTAGACTTCAATGAGTGTTTGCTGAATAAATGATACATAAATTAATTGAGAATCCTATACAAGAATGGGGACCATTTGTCTATCAAACAGTTTGATGAGGCATTATTGTTTCTGTAAAAGTAAGTGTAAGGTTTATAATTATTCCACTTTACCCTACTCTATTTTTTCTAGGTTTATTTTAGAAAATGTATTAATACTTCATTGGTGAAGGTCAGATTCCTTCCTGTGTTACATTCAACTCCTCCAAATTGCTTTGAACAATGGCAATGTGATGGTGCCAAATGTTATGAAAGGCTTTATCTCCTTCTGCCCCCCACATAGACTCTGTCACTGCCAAGCAAGTTTTTAGAGGAGTGAAATTCAAAGATACTATATACTAAATCATCTAAAAATAGTGCCTACCACTGTGCAAGACCCTGTAATTAAAATACTAAAAAGTAGTATTTTAGTTCTAAAAAGCATTTATCAACTGAAATAATTTTTGAGTAAGTATTTCAGCTAAAAAAATCTTAACAATGGGGCCCTTTGTAGTTACCATTTTGAAAATTGCTGTTAGATAATACAGTAGTCTCCCTTTACTCATGGGAGGTACATTCCAAGCCCCCCAGTGGATTACTGAATCCTACTATGGTTTTCCTATATATACATACCTGTGATAAAGCTTAACTTACAAATTAGATACAGTAAGAAATGAATAATAATTAACAATAAAATAGAATAATTAAAATAATAATATATAATTATGAACCACTTCTGAATTATTTATTTCTGGAATTTTCCATTTAATATTTTCAGACCACGACTGACCACCAGTGACCACAGGTAACTGATGCCATGGAAAGCAAAACCACAGACAAGGGTACAGTACTGTATTTCAGATTCCACAAAACCAAAGTTGAATAAGATGTTGTGAATCTGTCTTCCTCTGTCTTACACTAAATCCTCTTCACTACCCCTGTTGCTTTGCTCCTCACATCTAGATTTTGTGCAGTCTCCCCTCTCCTCCTCAAAATAGTTTTCTTTCTTCATCCCTTTTGCCTCAGTGCTGGGGCAGACCCAAGACCAGTCAGCTAGACCGATGTCCAATGCTTGGGCAAGCCTAAGGCTGTTCAGCTAGACCAATGCCCAAGTTGACTTGGGTGGGGAAAAATGAGACAGAAATATGAGATCCCGGCTGAGGTGAAGCTGGGAATAGAGTCCAACTCAGCAGATAGCGGGTTTGAATCCCAGCTCAAGGTTTTCATTCTTCTGAGCCTCCTTTTTGTCATCTGTAAGGACAAGCACAGGCGTTGTTGAAGACATTGAATGCTAGGACCTATCAGCTGGGAAAGTTGGTCAGGACTTTGGCTTCTTCTTGGCTGAAGCCCCAGAACCCAGCACTGTCTGGCTTAAATATTTGTTGAACCAGTGACTTACTATTGATGAATCAATGGAAGTTGTCTACTCTGTGTTAATTTGCTCTGCCATGCTTTTTCCAATAGGAAATAAGGTATGTTTCCCTTTATAAATGTATTACTTTATTCTATTTATTTGAAACACAGTGTGAGAAAGAAACATACAGTTATTTCCCATCTACTGGTTAGCTCACCAAATGCCCACAACAGCCAGGGTTGGGCCATTCTGAAGCTGGGAGCTGGGAACTCCCACATTGGTAGTAGAGACCCAAGTGCTTGAATGCCATCTGCCACCTCTGACTGTGCACACGAGCAGGAAGCTAGAATCAGGAGTGGAGTCAGAGCTTGAATCCAGGTACCCTAATATGAAATGTAGGTATCCACTACACCAAACACCCCCTTACCCAAGTATTTGCTTATGGTATTTGTTGAAATCCTCCATTTATTTGTAAAAGGTGACAATATAAGGAAAAGAAGCCTTTTAGCTGCTTGCATTTGAACAAAGTTAAATCTCTCAATGCTTCCCTCTTTCTCTGTCTTTATAACTGTAACAAGAGTATTTCCCTGGGTGTGTGGATTAGAGAAAAGTCCCAAAAAGAGGCCACCAGGATAGAGAAACTAGGAACTTCACAATTCCTCAGTCTCACAAGACGTACAGAAAATCCCTGTGTCCACCAGAGATGGTTGCTATCACCTTCTTGGCACTGGTGAGCTCAGAGGACAAAGATCTCAAGACCAGAAGGCATCTAGGAGGCAAGAGCTGGGCCATACCATGTTGGATTCCTATGTCTACCATTAACAAATGACCACAAATTGAGGGGGCTTAAATCAACAGAAATTCACTTGCTCACAGTTCTAATGCTCAGAAGTCTGAAAGCCAGGTGTTAAGACTATGCTCAAGCTGAAGACTTGGTAGAGGGTAGGGAGGGGGGTTCTTTCCTTGCTTCTTCCGGGCTTTTGGTGGTTGCCAGCAACTTCTGGCATTCTTTGACTTGAATGCATCATTGTCTTCTCTGCCTCTGTAGGCACATAGCTTTCTCCTTGCATGTCTTTGACAGTATTTCTAAATGTCCTTCAAGTAAGGTTGCTAGTCAAATTGGAGTTAGGGCCCACCCTAATCTAGTAGGACCTCATCTTAGCTTGATTACATCTGTAACACTCTGTTTCCAAATATAGTCACATTCATAGGTTCCAGATGGATATGAGCTTGGGGAGGGGGCATTATTCAACCCAATACACACGTCTTAGCAATATTCATGTTGGACTTCATGGATTCCAGCTCATCTGGATGATGCCAAACATATGGTATGGTGCATCCCAATAGAGTGCCGTGGGGAAGTCCAACCCAAGCTGCCTGGGTTGGAGTCCCAGTTTTGCCATTTATTAACTATCTTCTAGGCCAGCGCCACAGCTCACTAGGCTAATCCTCCACCTGCGGCTCCGGCACCCCGGATTCTAGTCCTGGTCGGGGCACCGGATTCTGTCCCAGTTGTTCCTCTTCCAGTCCAGCTCTCTGCTGTGGCCCGGGGGTGCAGTGGAGGATGGCTCAAGTCCTAGGGCCCTGCACCCGCATGAGAGACCAGGAAGAAGCACCTGACTCCTGGCTTCGGATCAGCGTGGTGCACCGGCTGCAGCGCGCCGGCCGCAGCAGCCATTGGGGGTGAACCAACGGCAAAAGCAAGACCTTTCTCTCTGTCTCTCTCTCTCTCTCACTGTCCACTCTGCCTGTCAAAAAAAAAAAAAAATCTTCTAGCAAGTTATATCAACTTTCTGGGCTTCTGTTTCCTCATCTATCAAGTGAAGGTTATAGAAGCTACCTCACAGGGTTATTCATTGCTAGGACCAAAGGAGTTGACTCAGGTGAGGCACTGTGGCAGGAGCAGTCTGTGAACAGGAGCCTAGAAGGCTGTTCCTGGGCCAGAGGTGGAAGGAAGAAGAGCAGTGACAGGGTTGTTGATTAGCAAGCTAGCTGGGATGGTACACTGGGACCTCCATGTGCAGTCATGTAGCCTCCAAGGCAGGCATTCACCTTCATATCCCACAAGTGAGTCATCCCCCTCAAGTGCCCAGCACACACACACTCACAGGCAAGCACACACTCACGCAACACCCATGCACACACTGCAGACTGGAGCTTACCGACGCCAGGCTCTGAGCATCTCCTCCCTTCCCTAAACCCTACCAATCCTGGTGCCTGCCTTGTTTCCTATTCTCTCCTACTCTGCATGTCGTAAAGCTCTTACTTTTCTGTGAAACACAGCTTGTGTTTCCTCCTGGAGTCCAAGTCTCAACCCTCATTTTATTCCTCCAGAATGAGGTTTCCCTGAGCTCCTGGGGAGAGACATTCCGAATCCAGGCCACACTCCTCAGCTGTCAGTTTTTCTACCCCTTTACTACTGCACAAGTCTCCTAAATTTCTTCTCAAATGTTTATTCCTGAGGATGAGGGTGAGGATGGTGGTGTTTCTTCCACGGCACAGCCATTGCAAAGCTCTTAAAAGATCCTCTTGGTCCTTTTACTGTGCACTACTTTAGCATGCAGCTCCCCCTCTCCTGCCTCTGTTTAGTCAGTGGTATGTGTATCAGCGCCAAATAGACAACTCCAGGAAATACTAGGGATTGAGGAGTTAATCCTTTTCATGGCTTGCTTAAGAATTTCACATGGTCCTACTTTTGTATATATCACATCAAACATGCTTAAATGTACCCTATGCCACATTTAAAATAATATTTTTGCTGTAAAATTATGAAAAGATTTTAAATAATTATGTTGTTGGGAATTTGGATTGTTGAGTATCTTATGATGGAGTGTGACTTCTTGATAGTTATACATATTCAGGACTTCCTTCATAGTGCAAAATCTAATTATAAGTTCTTTGAAATGAAATTGATAGTCTATGAATACTAAAAACTTGGGCCAGTGCTGTGGCGTAATGGGTAAAGCTGCCGCCTGCAGTGCTGGCATCCCATTGGGCACAGGTTTGAGTCCTGACTGCTCCACTTTTTTTTTTTTTTTTTTTTTTTTTGACAGGCAGAGTGGACAATGAGAGAGAGAGACAGAGAGAAAGGTCTTCCTTTGCCATTGGTTCACCCTCCAATGGCCGCTGTGGCCAGCGCGCTGCAGGCGGCGCACCACGCTGATCCGAAGGCAGGAGCCAGGTACTTCTCCTGGTCTCCCATGGGGTGCAGGGCCCAAGCACTTGGGCCATCCTCCACTGCCTTCCCGGGCCACGGCAGAGAGCTGGCCTGGAAGAGGGGCAACCGGGACAGAATTCGGCGCCCCAACCGGGACTAGAACCCAGTGTGCCGGCGCCGCAAGGCAGAGGATTAGCCTATTGAGCCGCGGCACCAGCCTGCTCCACTTCTGATCCAGCTCACTGCTATGGCTGGGAAAGCAGTGGAAGATGACCCAAGCCCTTGGGCCCCTGCACCCATGTAGGAGACCTGGAAGAAGCTCCTGACTCCTGGCTTCGGATCGGCACAGCTCCAGCTGTTGCGGCCATCTGGAGAGTGAACCAGTGGATGGAAGGCCTCTCTCTCTCCCTCTCTCTCTCTCTCTGCCTCTCTTTCTCTGTGTAATTCTTTCAAGTAAATAAATAAATCTTAAAAAAAAACTTACTAATTAATGAAGCAGACATTCTGGGGTTCCCCCCCCAAAAGACTACTTTTAGAGTGGTTTTAAGCTCACAGCAAAGCTGAGTGTCAAGTACAGAGCTCCTGTACATCACCACCACCATCTCCAGAGTTCCCTGTGATGAATGCCCGCCCTTCCTACGGTTGTACGCTGTTGTACTCACTGAGCTGCATCAACACATCACTATCACCTGGAGCCCAAAGTTCACATTAGTGTTCTCTCCTGGTGTTGTACAATCTAGAGGTTTAAACAAATGTGTGAAGATGAGTATCCACCATTATGATAGCATACAAAATGCAGTAGTTTCAACCCTTGTAACCCCTGATAACCACTGATCTTTATTGACCCATAGTTTTGCTTTTCCCAGAATGTCATTTGGTGGTAATCAGGATATAGTCTTCAGATTGGCATCTGTCACTTAGGGATACACATTTAAGGTTCTTCTGTGGTTTTTCATCTTGATACCTTCTTTTTTCTTTTCTTTTTTTTTTAAGATTTATTTATTTATTTGAAAGCCAGAGTTACACAGAGAGAGAAGAGGCAGAGAGAGAGAGAGAGAGAGAGAGAGAGAGAGAAAGAGGTCTTCCATCTGCTGGTTCACTCTTCAATTGGCTGCAACAGCTGGAGCTGCACCTATCTGAATCCAGGAGCCAGGAGCTTCCTCCAGGTTTCCCATGTGGGTGCAGGGCCCCAAGGACTTGGCCATCTTCCATGGCTTT